TATATAAAACAAGCAAGTTATTTGAGCAAAGTGTTTATATCACTTCTAATTATATTCTCAGCAATAAATTACAACACACAGCCCATTAATTAAACAGTAGTAGCGAAAGCCCCATTTCTTTTGTGTGGCATCCGTGCTTCTGCAAAAGGCTAATTTTAAAGCTTCTGCGCTCACTGATAGCTACTTTTAAAATGCACTTTCAAGGAGTTAAACAAATTGCATGTATCACGAAACAAAAGAACTGCCAAGAACTGGCTCTCAGCTGGAGAGGGAAGGGACAATGTGGAGGTGGAAGACCAGGATGAAAAATCTGCACTGAGCGTGCGTGACAGACGAGCTGGAGGACATCAGGTAGGAAAAGAAAACATCGTTAGGTCTAATCACAAAAACAGCTGATGGAAAAATAAATAACCTGCTTTCAGCCATTCATCTTAAAGCCCAGGGTTAGCAGACAATGTTACACTAATTGAGTTTCTCATACTATAAAGCACTTAGAGGTTTAAGTTTCCACCCAGAAAGTCCAAAAGGCAGTTTGTGCTGTTTAAGAAAAAAACACGTGTGTATTTTAGAACAGCTAGGTTATATTTAGCAGTGACTCCATCAGCCACAGCTGAGTGATCTTTGTTTAAAGGCAAGGATAAACCAACGTGAGATTTGTTTCTACCCTGAAGGACTCCTGTGGCCAGTTCCTCGGGTCAGGTGTCTCCTGAAGTTTGCAGTTCAGACTCAGACGAGCTTTGGGATTACTTGGTCCTGGTGAGCCTGGAAAGCCCAGGGTGACCGTTTTGTGAGTACAGGCTCTTTACACATTCTCATCGCTTGAACTATACATTATTTTTAGCTGAAAATAAGGTTTGGCTGACCCGCCTTGAGCATGCTTGCCCCCCAGATACTCACCAAGGCTGCCACAGCTGCAGTGTCCTGCAGTTCTATGTCCCCACTCACCCCACCAACTCATTAACACACCAATGAGGCTCATTTTGCAGGTAGAAAATTGAGAAATGTGTTTAAGTTGTACTAGAGGCTTGTGATAGAACAGAGAACTGACAGACCATCTTGCTAAGCCCTGATTAATGCTCCAGGTTTTCAGCCAGATTTGATGAGCTATTCATTAAGATGTGACAAAAAAAATCACATCTTATCTCAGGAAAGCTACAAGGGATGGGATCACATGTTCACAGACCCTAGGGAAGATTCTGCTGTGAGCTCTAATATGTAATTCCCACCTGAAAAGCAGTTTGGGTACCTCCCTCCCTCAAAAGACCTCCTCCCACATATGGGCTGCACGCGAACTGAACGTGGAGGAGCTAAAATGACATTATCTGCAATATCCAACGGATTAAAGCAAGTCCTGTTTTCAAGATCAAATTTACGTATCTCTGGTATTCACACAAGTATTCAACCACAGGTGTGGAGCACTTCTATGTAATTTATGCACTCTGGGTTGAGACAAAGGTTTGATACAGTAACTCGCCTTTGATGGCAGTGTAAATCTGTCAAACACTGGAGTGTATCAAGTGGCCTGGATTTGAGGTTTCACTCATTGCTGCGTCACCTCCTGTGCTGCTTCTTCAGAGCAGTTTGCTGTCGGGCAGTAACTTCAACAGGACTCAGGTACTCACAGCACTCTAAACACGCGGTCCTGTGCATTCAGCAGTTCTCAGCCTAAAACCCGTGTCACCCGCGAGCACTGACAGCTCTGGCTTGGGGTCGAGGTGTTAAAACAAGCTGTTGGAAGACATGGCCCATGGCAGAATAATAAACATCATGATGCCAAGACAGAAAATGGTTGCATACCATTAACCAGGCAAAATAGTGAAGTGAGAGCATGGGCAGAGTTAAGGGGAAAACAGAAAGAAAAAGTTGCCAGGGAACCAGGTAAATTTTCCTTGGAGAGCTCTGGCTTGGGGTCGAGGTGTTAAAACAAGCTGTTGGAAGACATGGCCCATGGCAGAATAATAAACATCATGATGCCAAGACAGAAAATGGTTGCATACCATTAACCAGGCAAAATAGTGAAGTGAGAGCATGGGCAGAGTTAAGGGGAAAACAGAAAGAAAAAGTTGCCAGGGAACCAGGTAAATTTTCCTTGGAGATGCAGATCCGGTTGCATACCATTAACCAGGCAAAACAGTGAAGTGAGGGCATGGGCAGAGTTAAGAGGAAAACAGAAATTAAAAGTTACCAGGCAACCAGGTAAATTTTCCCTGGAGTTGCAGATCCTGAAAGCCCACCTTAGAGTCTGCTGTTGGTTTTAGGATGCTAGCAGTGACAGAGCTGTTTTATTCCAACTCTACAGTGACCCACCCAGCAGCACTGCCGTGCTTCTTTCTTCTTAAAACACGGTAAGAGATAAGACTACAGAAGAGGCTGAATTAGTTCATCTTCACTAACTTTCATTATTTGACACATCCACTAATCCTCTAAAAGATATGAGATCTAGAGTGAATCTTGGAATGACGATTTTTAATCTTGAATAAGCTTAAAATTAAGATAAGAAGCTTTTTGTTTCCTCTGAAAGTTCTGGAGAGGCAAAAGGAGTGCTAGAAAACTAACACTGTGGTAAATTCCAGCCACGCTGAAATGGCTAATTATCATCCTGTTAAAAAGCACTGTTTGTTTTCTTTACCCAGTTGGTACATTTTTACTCTGCTGGGTGAAAGAGAAAGAAAACGTCTTAAAACACTCTGCTTGTGTACACTCTGTTCTCCTTATTGGTTATTTGCTTTCAGCATTATTTACCCTCATCTAGAAGATTTTTTCAAATTGTGCTTTTACTTGCAGCTCTGGCATGATTATGGTAATCCAGAAAATAGCTACTCTAAGAGTAGCTGGGAAAATGCACCTTTATATCTGAGGTATTTTTAACAAGAAGCCGGGCCTTATACATTTGAGAAAGAAGCCCACAGACACATTGTACATCCATCCTCTGGCCGCTGGCGGGTACCGCCTGCTCCCGGCACGCCTGGTGCCAGCAGATTAACTCCTCACCTGCGGTCCCCAGCCGTGGCACGGGTATAATATCGCTGTGTGGTTCTCCTGCGGGCCCTGGTCAAGGCAGACGTCTTTCGCCTTGTTGTTTCGAAGCTGTAAGAAATAACAAGTGCAGAGTTATATGGCCCTGTCGCTTTGGAGATAAGCAATAAACACGTGCAGCAATGTCTCTAGCCTCTCTTGATAGAGAAAGAATATACGGTGCTATTTCACTAGGTATAATCAGGCAGAGAAAGGTTTAGTGTGCCATATGTTTTCTTTAAATACAGGGCCTAATGATGACTGCTTTTACATAATAATCACCACTCAAAGGAGCCAACTTCCTTGAACACAGTTTTCTTTGTATTTGGTCATGTGTGGTGGTAACAAACATATTTTTAGATTGCCGTCAGCATGTTGCCAGGAGCCTGAAATCAATGCAGAATCGCTTGTCTATCATCGAAATCTCAAAGTGCTCGACAAGGCAGGAAAAAGAGTCCAGCTATCACAAGGAGCCCCTTCGAATCGTCGCTGGGATATGGGAGGAGACAGGGAGATCGCAATCCAGCCGTCAAGCACCGAAGGACACATTTTGGAGGGAGCACGGAAGTACTGGGTTCATGCTCCAAAGCCACGTGGCTGCTGACCCCAGCACCAGGTCTGTTAATGCAGAGATGTCCTCTCCCCAGGCCCCCAGGCAGGGCACCTGCAACAATATCTTTCCAAATACTACTTTCTGGGAGGTTTTAGCCTGAAGACATTAAGTAACTTTGATAATAAATCTTTCTGAAAAGTAATGCTCATCTGGGGTGCTCAGGCTGTGCTTCAAGAACACTTCTCAAACTGCCACTATTCACGGATTCACAGCGTGGCAGGGGTTGGAAGGGACCTCTAGAGATCATCTAGTTCAACCCCCCTGCCAGAGCAGGCCCCTGAGACCTTTTGCAGCAGAGTATTATTAGTTCCCATAAACGCCTGTTTTTATGTTCCCAGTATGGTCCCAAAACCAGCAGAGATTGAATTAAGTCTCCTTACTTTATCCCATCCTTAAGCTGTGTGACGTGTCATATCCTACGGAGACCTTGTAAGGAATTAGGCTGAGTTTAAGTCAAAGGGTTTTATAAGACAACTATGTATTAAAAATACACATACAGCTGCCTAATCCAGGGAGTCAATGCATAACAGAGATAACTTTCTGTCAGTTCAGTAAATGAGGTATTAAAACATTTTACTGTATATGGTCTCCAAGATCAGAAATAAATCCCAAAATAGGTTTTAAAAGAAACTGTGCAGAAATTTATACGAATTTATATAATTATACACAAATAGTAGGTTTTGATTCACATTCCTCCCCTCTGAGGCTATTTCTCATCAGAGACTCACCAGCTGTAAACGTTACCAGTCTGATCTACGGGACTGCTCAGCCTTAATTACCTCGCCATAAGCGATGGTGTTGTTGTATCTTCTCATTTCTGGATAAACGTGGTCCAGGTACCACTGGAAATTTTTACACTTCAAGCTCTTCCTTAACGCTTTTCTCTCAGAAACATCCCCAATGTCAATACCTGGATTCTGAAAAATAAAGACAGCGCGTCACAGAACGATCACTCTTAAAAAGGATTAAAAATGAGAGTATTTCACTGTTGTTTGATGTCACTTCCAAGCTGCCTGGAAACGGCCGATGGCTGAGTAACTCCATGCAGAGGCCACGCCAGGGAATTTTGGCACGTGTGTCCAAGGCTGAAGTCATCCTCGCAGAAGGCAGAAGGAAGACTTGGGTTTCACAGCCACGGCGAGGAGGAGACGCGTACTTCTCTCATCAGTTTTGAAGGCAGCCTTGCAACGGCCTCCAGACTGATGCTGGACATGTTTGGTCCTGGGAGGTAATTTAGACAAGAGAACCCAAATGGAGAGGAAAAGGTTTTGAAGGAAAAACAAGAAGCGTAGTGTAACAGAGGTGAATTTTCCCACCGATTGCCCTGGGCTTTGGATCCATCTGAGAAAGACTGCATCTGTCAACAGCCACAATGACAAAGTATTTTTAAAAGCTCCCACCTCCCTTTTAGGTACTGATGTATTGGACTTCCAGAGGAGCTTAACAGCAAATGCATGCCCGGATTTAAAAGAGGATCACGTGCTGAATGCTGGAAATGCAAATCCTTGACTGTGCACTGAGCACCAACACCCTTCCCCTGACGCATCAAGGGTGTGTGACCCTACTGAGAGGCAATGCAGAGGATGGGGAGGGAGGGAAGAAAAGTAAAAAAAGAAAGATTTAGGATTCATACATAACAGAGGCAGACAGCTAAGAATAAAGGATACAAATTACAGGAGAAGTTGAGGCTGAACCCCAGAAAAAACTCCTGACAATTTGGACAATTACGCAGTGAAACAGTCTCCCTGGAGACATAGAAGAACCCCACTGCTCGAGCCGATTTAAAAGCAGACAAAGCTATGAGATCTGTCTCCGGAGGAATAATCTTACCCGAGCCAGGAGCAGGGGTTGAAGACAGCTCTCCCCCTTTAACCTTTTATTCCATTACAGAATTTGGGGAACTAATGCAGGAGCCAGGTGAAGGAAACCAAAGGCATATTGCAGCCCCTTTTACTCCTTCCTACAGGGGTCTGGGTTTCTACTCTATTTTAGCTCTTGCTCTTGTCTTTTGCAGTGATCATTAAATACAGCTGGGAAAGCAATTTTCCATTACAATGCTTGTAATGATCTCCTAATGAATTATTCACTCTGCTTTAGAGAAGACACCATTTTAATGCCAGACTGGTAGCTCATAGGTAAAAATAAAGATGATTCAGTGTAGACAGGCAGGACAGGCTGAAATCTGAGTGGGCGAGATGGGACGCAGAGCCAAGTGGGACCACGAAACAGTCAGCACCTGAAATATTCAGTGCATGTGGTTTGGCTTGGTTCTGAATATAGTGGCATCGCAAAATAATGCAGTGTATATCCATAACCCCCTGCACAACAGCACCTGACAAACAAGGCTTCTCGAAAATTAAATCTTGATTTTACTGGTAAGACCTATATAAACATCTCAAATTGTTTTTAGGGTAACCCAGATCTGTTTCTCCAGACCTACCCTCAGTGCTAATTCGTGTGACGCTGCCTCTTCCAAGCCGTACATGACCTGCGGCTTTGTGTTGAATTTTAATCTCTTTTGGCTCATCAGAAGCATGGTGCCTCACCTCTAAAAAGGAATCAGCCCGTGGATCGAGGCTGAACCCACAGTAATTGATGATCCCTGCCTACGGGGGTTTGGATTTTGCAACGTATTTTTAAGAAAGACTTAAAATCACTCGGTCCTACAGACAACTCTCTCCCTCTCTAAATGCTTGGAGTGGGGCCCGTCACAGCCAGTGCCCTCCTGCAGCTCACTGGGTAAACAGCATTGCTTCCCATCTCCATTCACCCATTTCTCAATAACAAACCAATCCAGGACTCTCCACCTCCCCAGGACGGCAAACGGGCAGCTCATCGACCCTTCCCGGGTGCCTGTGGTTCTCTAACGCAGCACAGAGTTGCAACTACTGCAGCTCTAAATGCCAGTAACTCTCCCCAGATGTAACCTTTCCCCAGAAAGCAGCAGCAGCTCAGGTTTGTGGGTTTTGATGTTTTTTCAAACGCCCCGGAGCACAGTGCTGCCAGCCAGGGATGCTGCCACAGCAGCATCAGGAAGGAAGCAGTCCTTTGCAGGGGTGTGATCTGCAAGGGATGAATATTTGGTATTTATTTTAGCACCAAAAGGGTGGCTGTAAATGACCGTTCACATGGGGTCTGGCCACTCATGGCAACGGTTTTTCCCCATACTTGAACAGAGCAGCCCAGTGCTTGTGCTTAAGTACACTGCGAGTGGAGTAGGTGATGGGGGGGCTATGCTGGGCACTCTGAATCCTCATCCCACCCATCACCTGGAAAGCATCACTGGCTCCCCCTCCCCAACATCCCTTCTCCTTCTGGCAGGACCAGAGACAGGAGATGGGGGGACTGGTGCAGCCAGGGGTGCTCCCATCACTCTCCAGGCAGCATTCAGAGCCAGGAGGCAAGAGACAACCTGCACAGAGACCAGAGCTCAAGCAGCAGCCTTGGACCTACATAAAGTCCCCCTGGAACCTACAGAGCTTTATGCAAAAGTGCAGGGAATCACCTAGAGAGGTCCATGTGCAGGATGTGTCCCCTGGGCCTGGTCAGCCTGGTGAAACCTCACAATTTTCCAAAGACCTCCCATGCTGCCACAGGGCAGGATTTACATGAAAAATAATGTGTCAGATCTAAGAAAATCTAACCATTTCTGAACAGAAATAAATACAACCACCAAAGCTATTTAAAGAGAGTGTTTCTGGTGCATTTGTGCGTGGTGCTGCTGGGAGAGGATCTCCTTCTGTGAGTCACTGACCTCCAATCCTTTACCTCTGAACACGTTTTCTAAGCACTGATGGCCTCAACTTCCCCAGAGCTGGGAAAACACACAGCCCAGGCAGCTGGAACACACACCGTCTGCAGTGAGCTCGGGGCAGCGACAGCATCTACGAGCTCAGAAACCTGAGCTGAGCTGCACGTAACACGGACCTGCCCGAGCCGCAGGAAGAAACCTCAAGCATTAATGACGCTGATATTAATAATCTTCTGCCAACTGACTTTACAGGCAGACTCCATCTGCGGAGCAGTGTAATGACATCAACTCACGCTGTGTAAACACTCAACGGGGAGATAAACACTACAATACAGGTTTAATTTGTAAAAATGAGAAGAGATAGGATGATGTGAACTGTAGGAATTCATCCCAAATCTGCAGGTTTTGCAGCGTCTCCCTCAAAGCTGAGGGACCTCTGCTGACTTTCACAGCTGGGCATACGACCCAGGGGATTTAAGGCTCTACTTCACCCAGAGGCACTAAAAGCTCTATAATTCACGTTTTTAACCAAATAACGTGAAGACTTAGGATCGGGTGCTGGCCGTACCTCCAGCGGCAGGTTCCACGCTATGTAGACGTGCGATTTGTAGTCGTCCATCCACACCTCGGCCACCCGCAGGGCATTGCGCTTGGTGTAGAAACCGATGTTGTTGTTGTAGGGCTTCTTCTTGCGCTCGATGTGAGCCACCCTGGAGCAGGGCAGGACCTCCATGCTGCCGCCGCAGAGCCACACCTGCAACGCAACCGCAAGACACCGTCAGCACGAGGCTCTGTCACCGTGCAAAGGGCCCATGGCTACATTAGAGAAAGAAGGACTGGGATTTGAGATTTGTGTAACATCCTGGTGAGCACAAGGCATCACTCATCTAGCTGGGAAGTGGAAACCCACGGCCAGGTTTGCCCTTTGCTCAGTGGTCAGACACACAGGGAGAATTTAACCTGTGCCCAGAGCAAATCACGTGTCGACTTGAGAGGGGACAGGTCTATATCCAGCACGTGCTATTCGCACACTGTAGGATCAGGTGCTGAGTTTACAGTGATGTTGCTACTAAATAAAATGGATCAGTGACCGGAATAGTTGAAACAATTGCAAGATCTCCTGCAGAAGGGATGACTCAGTGAAACATATGGCAGGGACAGATTTCTCCCACTTGAACACATTTGTTCATTATTTTTCTTTCACATGCTGTTTGAAATTCCCTCAAATCATGGTTTACAAGTTAATAAAATCTTTTGAGATAGGTCTTTTTATCACACCAAAAGGGAATTCACAGAAAGACTCGCCATACCTGAGTTCTTCCCTCCCTGTTTGTCTTCACCAAGAAGTTATTTAGTTTACATGAAAGACGCGTATCCAGGACACCAGACACCGGGCAATCAGTACAAACACATATGTCAAACAGGCCTAATAATCCCAGTTCCGCCGATTTTACAGTCTGCTCCGCATTATCATTTTGCACAGTTGTTATAACACCCATCGCTTCTGGGATCTTTTCCAAGCTCACCACCTTTTATCCCATCTGCGTTCCCTAGATTTTACCGACCCTGCTCAACCCGCTCCCCCAGAAGCACGAGGAGCCTCCTTGGCTGGATCAGCTGCCCTTCTCAATCTCTAAGTGGCTGTTTTAGCACTCCCAATGCAGGGCACGGGCACCTCCCAAGCCCAGGCGACAGGAGTAAGGGACAGTACGGCAGGGAGACGTCTTCCCTTGGCGTAATCCTGCTACTCGTGATGCTCTCGCTTGGGCTGCTGCAGAATATCGGAGCCCACATCAAAAATCAGAGCCCCATTTATTAGCTGGTGTGGAGGGTGTCCCTACCCATGGCAGGGGGGGTGGAACTAGGTGGTCTTTAAGGTCCCTTCCAACCATTCTATGATTCTATGAAATTAATTCATATTTAGCCTATTTAACAAGGCAGAGTGTTATGTATTTCTTCCTAGAAAGGATGAAATCACAATCACTTCGTTTTAGAAAATACACATGGATGGGATGTAAAGGCATGTTTAAAGATCCAAGATAGGGTGTGTAACACAGCAGGCTAAGTATGACGAGCTAGTCTCCAGTTTCTCCCTTATTTTCTGACATTCAAATTTCAACACGACTATTAGCTTGCCATTCATCCACCCGTAGAGATGCAGAATTAAAAATAGAAGCATTCCCCTCCAGTAAATGACGGTGACTCAATAACTTCTCCATCACAGAAGTAATCAAACGTACAGAAAGATGCTTGGGTTTATAAATAACCAGTTAACACTAAATTCTAGTGAAGAAATCCCAGAGAAACAAACAAAAAACAAATCCATCACCAAGAGATCTTTGATTTGTTTCTGAGAAAGCTGGTGGGTAATAGACTTGCAATTATTTTCTAAGCAAAATGTGACTGTCCTAAGAATTCAGCACGGAAAAACAGTGAAGCAGTGAAATGTCTGAGTACGGCTGAAACTACATCAGCCATCAATGTTCTAGAAGTGTTTGCATATGTGGGAAGCAAACTTTGGTTAGCACGAGACTGCATCACCTTGCTCCTGTGACGGGATAACCCAGCTTTGCTTTCTCATCACCTTCCAGAAGCATGAAGGTGTCTCAGGCGCGTGAAAGCATCCTTGAAACAGGCAGTATCTCCGTGACCTGCCCGGGGGATAACCCGAAACAGGGAGCAGGTATGGCACGGTGCCATACGGCAGCAGAACTACAAGGGAGGTCCAGGTGCCACTCCTGTGCACGTGTACCTGCACATCCAGGAGCATCCCGGAGAACAGCAGTGCCCAGGCCTTTTAGACGGGACTGCAGGCAAGCCGAGGGAGGAGACATCCTGGCATTGCCTGGGGAATGTCGTCCCTGTCGTCCTGTGGTTACTGCACCCCCAGTAACAGAGGGAGAATGGACGACAGCTCACAAAACGCAGCCTAGCGATGATCCTTTTGGCGTGCAATAGAGACCGCGACAAAATCCCCATTTCGCTTGATCAGCTCATTGCAACACTCGCAGAAACAATTTTCAGAGCGTTAAGCAGTTATGAACAATTACTGCCCATGGTCCCCTCTGCCCTCACAACTACAGTGCAGCTATCAATTTGCTTTGCTCCCGTCTGACAGAGCCAGCGATTACTCTCAAGGAGTGTTGTTTAAACAAAAGAGCTTTTGGCAAGCTGCCTAATGTCAAAGGAGTCCGCCAGACAGAGAAGGGGGACCCCGAAGAGATCCACCAGCCAGGAGCGTGCCGAAAGCCCTGTGCTACACCAGGCTAAAGGCATCGTCTGTGCTGCCCAGACAAGCAGGGCTAGAGAGAGGTGTTCGAGGGGTTGGCCAAGCTCGTGCCTTGGGTTGGTGGTGCTGGGGCTGTTAATGCTGTACAGGTCTGGTTTGCCTGGAGGGAGCAACCCAGATGTGTTTGGCTGCCACCTGGGGCATGGAGGATGCTGCTGAGCATGGGGGGCTGCTGCCTTGTCCCACCCCATCCTCTCCAGCAGGTCAGAGCTGCGATCTCCACTGCGTGCCGTCCCCCTCCGCTCACCCCATGGAGCGGGGACCCTCTGGGCTCCCTCCCTGGGGGGCAGGTGCAGCGGCACCCGCTGAGCAGCAAAGGATGCACACAGGGGAAGGCATGGCCACAGCTCTAGCAAAAGAAGAGGTGAAAAAATCAACTTTGAACACAGACATTTAACACATACATACTAAGAAAACCTTGCTCCCCTGCCCGGCCTTCTGCAACCGGGCCTTGCTATGCCATGGTGCCCACGGGCAGGGAAGCAGAAGATAAAATCATTAACTTAAAGGGAGTATTTTCATCAGAAAATACTGACGCAGGGGCTGCTTCCCCTGGGATGACAGAATAACTTGTACGTCGTGCTTCTCTTCACACGGCTGCAGGCCACACAAGGGAATTGGGGCTCACCGTCTGTTTTCAGCATACAGCAAGCCAACACCAGAAAAAGAGAAGGACCATCTGCAAGAGCTGGGGCACGTCCCTCGCCCCTTTCCAGCCCGCGGAGTACCAGGACAGAGCCCTGCCACAGCACTGCACCTTCTCCTCACTCAAACACCAGTGTCTCCAGATGAAAAAACATAGTATCGGTGCCCCTGCGGTCGCTGCCTTATATAATGCTGTGCTTCCTCCTCATCCCTGGGATATCATTAATAATAATAATAATAATAACAAAAAATAAGAAGGGACAGTGACTACCTTGGGTCCTGGACACGGCATTCTAGCTGGAACATGGTGTGACATCCATAATGAACACTGACAGCTCCCATCAAAGGATCCTGACTTCAGTTGCTTATAACTTTGCCAAATTTTAACTATTCAGACTGAAATATATCCTGGAACAGCTCGAGCCTGCCTGCAGTTAATGCAAAGAGACATCATGTCTACTGGTGTCAAGATGAGTCTGCGAGGTAAACTTCTAATCTCTGAATGTATTGTGACAGAAGGAAACAGAGGGGAAAAAAAACTCCACTTCTAACTTTCATTACACAAACTCCAGGCTTTTTTAGCTGATAACTTCATTTCTAAGGTGATTAGCTAAACTGTGCCTTAATTAGCAATAGATTTCCCATTTAACAGCTCTGCCTTATCTTCGCCCCCCTCCTTTCTTTTAAAAGTAACTCCCTAAGTTAAGGCAAAAACACAATTACCCAGGGCAGCTAAAATAATAAGGAATGTATCAGAACAAAGACCTAAATAATAAAATTGAGAAACAGCAAAAAAGGCAAAGAAATAATCATTTCTCCACATGCTCCCTTTATATAGTTCTGAGAGACGGTATCTCTCCAAATTATTCCTTTTTTCAGAAGAAACAAACATACAGCTACATTTCCAGCTATGTATCTGAAGCAGTTTCTATCCCTCCTGTTCCTGTTTTGGCCATGCTCCATCCCACATCCCCGCAGGACACCATGGGAGGACATCCCCAGGCCCGTGCTCGCGCTGTCACATCCCGCTCCCCAAGATGCCAGAGCAGCAAAGGGTCGGGAATGGGATGAACAAGTCGCTCCCCCAGCTCTCTGTCACCCGTCATGCCCAACGCCCGGCGGCTGCTCTCAGGCAGGGCAGACTCGAGCAGGCAATGCCGACACGGGGCAGGGCAGCCCAAGCCAAACTCCTCACCTCAGGAAGAGGGGCAAAGGATTCCCACAGCAACAGCTAGTGCAAGGAGAAGTGAACCCACAGCGTTTTTGGAGCAGCCATCCCTCACACTTAAATCCCTCTTGAAGAGAGGCGTAATGCAGAGCCTGCCTGTGATTTCAGCATCCTCAGCACAGAGCAAAGGCGGTGTGTTGGCCTTGCTTCCCCTAGAAAACCTTAAGGTTTGGTACTTACAAGTGTAACTGAGCTGCAGTACCTTTATCTCCCTGGCACGAGGTCCTTGTAATGTTGTGGTGAGAGACACACACCACAGCAAGCCTGTCAAATCCCAATTTTGGTAACTAAACACCTCCACACCCTTAGCTGATGGCTGTTTATGGGCAACAATCAGAAGTGGCATACCTCTCACACACAGCAAGCTGGGTAATATTTTATATTTATACATATTTATGTTATATTCTATATCATCATCAAAGTGCTTCTACCAGCCATTGCAAATGCCACTATCTCATGTAACAATCACAGCAAGAAGTTCAGTAGAAATGTTAAGCTGAATTACATGAAGGTGAGTTAAAAAACCAAATACAGTGGGGGGCAAAAAAAAGAAAGAAAATCAGCTTTCTCT